CTCATTCCGGGTTCTACATGTCAGGAAGCCCCGCCTCCATGCACAAGAAACCCTGAGTGCCCTGCCATGCTGGGAAGTCTTCACGAGCGTATCTGAGAAAGTAATGACCACAATAAGAACAAGCTATTTGTTGAGCAATTATTATGTGCTATGAGACGTACTTTAAATATGCTATGACCCTGATTTCTGCCAACAACTCTGCAGGTGAACATGATTACGTTCACTGCACAGGTGAGGAACACGTAGCTCAGAGAGGTTAAGTGACTTGCCTAAGGTCACAGAGCTGGTAAGCAGAGTGAGCTTACATTCAGGTCATGTGACTGAACAGGGTAAAAGACTGCATCCAAAGGGGACAAGTTTTCAAAGACTGAAGAAACTCTTCAAGCCAAATGGTAAGCAGCAAGGAGAACTGGCACCAAATTGACGTGGAAATTGACCATGATCAGTAGAAAGAGGGTGAAGAGAGGGGTGTAGGCTGTGCTCTTTTGGTAAATGGTGGGATGACTCCGGGCACTTACTTGGCTTTCTTGAGGCTCCATCGTTTCATTTTTAAAATGAGGTGAAACTTTATTTTATTTGAGGAATAACAGGAGAAACTATGTGTAAAGACCTGGAAGACACTCATAAATGATCATTATCCATGGTAGCATACATAAGAATTATATTTTCTTTCTGATAATAAAAACAATCTACAAACTATGCGGCTCACCCAAGAGAGTTGGAATGATGTCTAAAAGGCCTCAAGGACACGATTTAACTTTTATGCTGGAGAACACAGGTACACCTGAAGCATTTCGGAAATTCTCCAACACCTTGGAAAGGGGGAAAGTGTGCAAGTCCTGTTAATACCAAGCCTGTGACAATATCAGTGAAGTCAATAAACTAAAAAAACAACAACACACCGACTTGGGGGGTCTGAAGGATACATGGCATGTCGACCAGGTCCAAGCTACTTATTTTCAGTTTTTAAAAAATGATCAAGTGTATAAAATTGACATCCTCATGGATTGCCCTTCACCTTGACCCTATCCCATTCCCTAGTCCATCCCTGAGTCCTGCCTGAAGAAGTGCAGGTCAGGAGTGGGTAAAGGTGAGGGGCACCTGGCGCCCACATTGCTGAGTCTCACATTTCCATGTATCTCAAATGTGCTGCACAAGGATAATCTCCTTCCTTCCAGAATGATGATACCAACCTGAATTACAGCCTCACTCTGGGACTTTAACACTTCCAAAAGAGACCTCTGACCATCTGTGTGAGTCAGGGTTCTCCAAAGGAACAGAAGCAAAAATGTGTAGATATAGAGAAAAGAGATTTATTTTAAGGAATTGGCTCACACAGTCATGGGGGCTGGCAAGTCCAAAATCTGGAAGGTGAGCCAGCAGGCTGGAGAACCAGGAAGAGCCAATGCTGCAGTTGAAATCCAAAGGCCATCTGCTGGCTGAATACCCTCACGCTTGAGGAATCACTCTTTTGTTCTATTCAGGTCTTCAACTGATTTGATGAGGCCCACCCACGTTATGGAGGCCGATATGCTCTCCTCCAAGTCTACCAATATAAATCTCATCTAAAGAATACTCTCACAGAAACACCCAGAATAATGCTTGACCAAATATCCGGCACTGGAGGCCAGCTCATTTGACATAAAACTTACCATCACATAGTCCACCAGGAATGACTATATCCATTAAAGTCAAGCCCAGGCACATTCCTCTAAATGAGGCATTGAGCTCTTATGCCAAGTCTACTGGCTCAAATTTGTAAACCAACCTGGCTCATAATCCTAACAACCTTTGTCGTCTGGTTTCCCAAACCTGGGCAGACAAGAAACAAGAGGAGTTAGAGTGAGGACTTGATACAGGCAGATCCCAGAAGCAGTGAGAAGTGACAGCTCACATCCTGACAGTGAGGAGGAGATGGAAGATCTCTAAAAAGTAGACGGAAAAACGGTAAGAGCTCAGCAGCATAGGGCCTTTGAGTGTTAACACAAATTGTTCTGCTTGCTTCATGGAATGAGGCTATAATAGAGCACAGTAGAGCAACTGGTGTTCTTCATTATATACCTGGGTCTCTAAGTAACAACACATTTGGATTAGCTGTTACAAGGGGTAGGATGGAGGGAAAGGGGCAGTTTTTAAAGGGTGGGGAGCAGGCGTGGTAGTCACTGGCTGATATGCTCTCCTCTCACCGCCAACCCTCGCCTGTGCATGGGGAATACGGTGAATTCTCTACTGGCTCTTTTAAAAAATTAGCCATTCCCTCTTTCTCGGGGCAATCAGGGCATCCAGATCTCATTTTAAGAGAACTATGCTCTTCATCCTCAGGCAGGTGGTTTGAGTGATACTGATAGCACTCCTTCTACAGGGGTGGCCCTTCTAGCTTAAGCCAGTCTAAACATGCCATTTATCTTCTGACCTTGCTTCAGAAAGGAGCACATATTCAAACTGGGATTGCAGTGATGCAAATGGACGTTTGCCGGGTGGTGGGAGGGGGGGAGTTGAGAAAAAGAGACTTTTTTTTCCTTCTCCTCCCTAGATGGTATCTCATGAGGGTATGGTCTAGAACTGTTGTAGCCATTCTGCTCCTGTGAAGGGGGAGCCTGGAACTTTCAAGTGATGGGAAGGAGTCCCCTACATGGAGACTGAAGATAAAGCCAAAATTACCAAAGGCAGAGAGGATAAATGGAGAAAGTTGGATTCTTATAACAGCCTATGAGCAGCTTGATCAAACGTCACCTGAAGCTTCTTAGGGTTTTTAATTTATATATGCCAATGGATTCCTTTTTTGATTGAGCCAATTTGAACTGATTTTTGGTTATCTGCTAGGACATGATACCTGACTGATAGAACACCTAATCTTGAAAAAAGAATTTTGACTAGAAAAGAATGAGTTGAAGAGATAGTCGATAACAATAACAATATCAACTCAGAAAAAAATGATTCAAGCACCTCATATGTTCCAGAAACTGCCCAGAGCTTCACTGACTTCTCACAAAAGCAAATGACATTGGTACTATGATTATCTCATTTTAAACGAAGATGCTAAAGCTCAGAAGGATTATGTGACTTGCTCAAGGTTGCACAGAAAGGAAATGGACTGAACAGGTCCAGAGCAGGTCTTGCTGCCCAGGAATATGCTCTTCTCATGCTGCCAGGCAGACAGCTGCACAGAAGAGGGTATGAGCTGGAAGAGCTTGGTCAGAGGAGAGTGGAACCACCGACCTGTAGTGATGAGGGGAAGATGGGACAGGCAATGAGGCTAAGAGGCTGCTGGGACCCGTTGGTGGACAGGTTTGGTTCCAGCCATTATTATCATTCAGTGGTTCCTATGTAGTTCTGACGTTACTCATCATCACTAGCAATAGAGCTATGCCCAACCACTGCCCAAGTTCAGATCAGGGTTATGTTGTCAGGATATTCATAATCCATTTATTCATGCAGCAGCTACTGGAGTGTTTATGCCTCAAGCATCCTGCCTGGTGAGCACGACAGTCGCGGTAACCACCTTTGTGGACCTTAACAGCCGAACTGGGAAAGACATCAGGGAATAAATAATGACACCTGAAACAAATAAGTACATCTATAAATAATGATCATGTGTGGTGATAGCACCAACTGTGCAAAGGGCCACCTATAAGAGACAAGAACAGAATGTTATAAAAAGAACGAGGAGACCTGGTTTAGATAGGAAGGGTGTGTGCAGGTGTGGGGGGTAAAGCCTCTTCTTGGAAGCATGATTAAGCAGAAGCCTTGATGTTTAAATGGGCACATGCATTCTAAGCAGAAGGATCCACTTGTGCAAAAAGGAATTGGATTTGTATATTTAAGGAACTGAAAGAGGACAGTTACTGGGTGAGAGGTAGGCGAGGGCTGGGACTTGCAGGGTCTTGAGTCCCCCACTGGGACTTTTAATTCTCATTTTGTCATTCCCTCTTGAATGTTTCCTGAGAATCCTCCCCTGGGCCAGACCATATGCAGGGAATAGGGATATGGTGATCAATAGTGATGATGATTATAATGCCTAATATTCTTTGAGGATTTACCATTTGCTATTAGAACTCTTGTCCAAGATTGGAGGCAGTCTGCTGGATGTAGGCAGCTAGTTGAGAATTTCCCAAACTTGGCAGATCAAAAGAACTCCTTAAGGAGTTAAAAACAGACCCTTCTCCTGGAGATTTGATTCAGTAGGTGCAACTCCTCCTGGAATTTGTGTTTTTAACAACTTTAACAAACACTGGCCTAAAGCAGTGTAGCGCAATGGCTCCCCCGCCCCTTTTTTCCTTTTTCTTCTGTACAGATCCCAGTTTGAGTGGGTGGCAAATTCACTGCTTTTGCAGTCACCTTGTGCAAACTGCTCCAAGTCTCTGAGCATCATCAGTTTCCCCTTCTGACAAATGCGGCTAATGACAGCACCATCTCCTGGCGCTGATGTGCAGATTAGGTGAGCTATGAATCCTAGTGATCGATGATGACAGTGACTGGATGATGATGAAGATGCCTCATGATCAGGTGTCCTAGATCACAGCTGGTGGCTCGGAGGACTGTCCTGAGACAGGGACCAGTTCTTCTGACCTCAGGCTAGGGTTGTCGCTTGAAATACAGGAGCCCAGTTACACTGGAATTTCAGATAAACGATGCAAAATTTTAGTGTAAGTATCTCCCAAATATTGCATGGGCTATACTTACACTGAACAGTCATTCACTGTTTATCTGACATTCCAACCTAACTGGGCGTCCTGTATTTTTACTTGTGGGACCTAGCAACGCCACCTTAGGGGAAAGAAAGTACCCCCCCAAGGCCTGAGCCCGAAAGCACCCGCCCTGCGCACGCACGCGGGCCCCACTCTAGGCGCCTCCACTGGCCAGGCGCCCCAGTCGATCCCAGAGGGGCCGCTCACGCTTCCGCCCCGCTCAGGCAGCACTAGCGGCGCCCCGAGCGGTCGAGCCCCGCGCACTGACCCTGCCGCCCCGCCCTGAGCAGAGGGCGCCGCCCGAACCCGGGCAGCACAGGCCCGGCGGTTGGGCTGTTCGGCGTCTTGCCGTTCCCTCCCACACTGTGTACTCAGGGGAAGCCAGAAAATCGCTCGCCATGTCGGTTGCGGAGGCGGGGGGTGTTTTCCGCCGAGCCAGGGGCAGGACCCTAGACGCGTTTCCCTCAGGTACTGCCGGCCTCTCGCCCGGGGAGGGGATGATTTCAAGACTGCGGAACCTTCCGTCGGGGGAACAGTCGGTCTGGGGGCGCGCGCCTCCAGCCGGACCGCTTCGGGGGCTGCACTCCGGGGGGGGGTGGGGACCGCAATAGCGGTCGCACCGCCCGCGCTTAGGGCTTCGAGGGGCGCTGTTTTAGAGACGGGTGTCCCGGCAGTGGGGCCTTGCTGGCCTTGACCTAACTTGCCTGAGAGAGGAGAAGATAGAGTAAGGCGGCAAAGCGTGCTTTCCGGAAGCGTGGGTTGTGCAGTTAGACTTGCTTTCAGCCTTGCCTTGGACACGTTATTCAGCAGGACTCGGCCTCAGTTTCCCCACCTGCAAACCGGGAATAACAACCGTGATCTTGTGTGTGGCGCTCGTAGGCGCTCGGTGCACGGTAGATGCGGTTATTCTTACGGTGGTAGTTCACCAGGATGTATTTTATACTCCACAGTCCCGCTTACTTCCCGCGATAGGGGTCATCCACCAGAATGTGCACTGTGCCCATCGGACAGCAGGGCGGGAGGGCAGGCCAGGGTCGGGTCAGAGTTAAGTGCTTGGGGTTTGGATTTAGTCTGCCTCGTTGTTAAAATGTGGGTTTTTTTGTTTTGTTTTTTTTATTTTTATTTTTTAAGATTTATTTATTTATTTATTTGTTTGTTTGTTTATTTATTTGTTTGTTTGTTTGACAGAGAGAGGGATACACACAGCGAGAGAGGGAACACAGCAGGGGGAATGGGAGAGGGAGAAGCAGGCTTCCTGCCGAGGGAGCCTGATGTGGGGCACGATCCCAGGACCAAAGGCAGACGCTTATCGACTGAGCCACCCAGGCGCCCCTGTTGTTTTTTTAAATGCCTCCTGGGGGAAGCGTAAACAGCTGATTTCTTGGTCCTGTCTGGCTTTTCTCTGCCTGGAGTCAAGATTCCCTCCCACGCCCTCACCGGTTTTGTTAGCCCCGGGGACATCACCCCAGATACCCTGCATGATCTGGCTTGTGCTCCACCTTTCTTGCTTGTCATCCTGCCCTTTGCCCGGTTCTCCTGCCGCACTGGTTTATCTCGAAGGTCTTTCTTTTCCTCTGCTCCCATAGCTAATAGCCGGGCTGGTAGGGCCTGGCTCTTTCTCAACCCTCTAACTCTAGTTAAAGTTAAGTCACTTCCGGGGCCAGGTTTTAACCTATTTAAAAAGTAGGTTCCTCCTCAAGGTCTCTGTCCTAAAACCTTGTTCTTTTCTCTTTGCAGCTCTTGGTGGGGGAGTGACAAGGTTCTGGAAGAGCATGTAGGGGCCAGAAATATAGCTGTGGCGGATTTTGGAAAATACAGTCTGCAATAGTGCCCATTTTAAAAATACCTCAACAGGACTTTTTTTTTTTTTTTTTTTTGCCCAACGTGAGATTTTTGAGATTTATCTGTATTGATATAAGTAGCTCTAGTTGACTCACTTCCCTCCTGGGCAGTATTCTATTGTATACCTTCTGTTGCTGGATATGCAGAGTATCTTCCCCGAGGGAGGGGTGTGTTATCTGATCGAGAAGGTTGAGTGTGAGTTAACAGGGCCCTGAAGGGAGGAAAGAGCACTGTGGACTGTGGGTGGAAGAGGTGTAAAAGTCTGTGGCATGGCAGTATGGGGAAGGGAAGGATAGGGGTGTGGTGTTCTCTGAGAATGGAGGATGGTCGGGGGTGGGGGGGAGTAAATGAGGAGTTTTGTCTCTACCTAATAGCATCAAAGAGTTTTAAGCTGCATGTGTGAGGAAACAAGGACACTGATCAGATTTCCGTTTTGGAAAGAATGGTCTAGCTGCGGCAGTGAGAGCAAAAGAATTTTAGGCCTTAGGAACTTGGGGTGCAATCGGATTGCAAGCTAGAGCCCAAGAACTTGGCTTGAAGCAACATTTCCATAGCACCCGCGTTGTTCACTTTGGGTTTATTTATTCGTGGTAGCTGGAGGTGCTTCTGGTTGCGGGGAGGGCTTCCGATGGAGATTATGGGGGAAGGATATGGAGGTGTCAAAACTCCTTAACCCACTGGAGTTGCCACAGGCTGCCAGGGGCTCCAGAGAACAAGAGAGTCATTCACCCGGACAAGAACGGGGAGGTGGGCAGAGAGACTGAGAAGATAAAAGGACAGGACACTTCCCTTGCTGAGATAGGAAGAGGGAAGATGACCCTGAGCTTCCCTTAGCGGTGGGGCCTACGCCGGGTCTCCTGTGTGCTGAGCATCCCCAGCGGGCATGCTCAGTGGGGGCCATTTAGCGCAGGGCTTTTAGAGGCCCGGCCTTGGCGGCTCGGGCTTAGAACACCTCGTCTTGTGGGTTCACATCACGGGGAGCGGAAGCCCTAGTCCACCGCCAACGTGCCTCCATTGCTCTCACCTAGTTCCCTGCGGGCACTGCTGGCACCTTTGAGAGCTGCTTGCAGAGGGTCCACTGCCAGGCCCGGCCCCGTGGGAAGGTGAAGCCGCTCGAGCTGGGAGGGGAGGGTGGCTCTAAAGGCCGGCCCCGAAAAGAAAGGGAAGCAACTGGCGTTTCCCCATCTCTTGCTAAAATACACCCTGCCTGTCAGAGGTTTGGTTAACTCAAGCAACACTGTCCCAAATCACAGCCCTGATAACCCTCATACACTTGTTCCTCGAAGCCCCTTCCTGAATTAGCCAAAGTTTGTTACTCAAGCGAAGCCTGGCAGGTGAAGGGAAGAGTCTTAGTCCGTTCAGGCTGTCATTACCGAGCATCACACGCTGGGTGGCTTAGAAAAAACAGACGCTTCTCATTTCTGGAGGCTGGACGTCCAAGGTCAAGGCGCCCGTGGAATGCGGGTGTGGTGCATACCTTCCTGGTTCACAGATGACCATCTTCTTCCCGTGCCCTCACACGGTGGGAGCGGGAAATGAGCACTCTGGGGTCTCTTATAGAGGGTATTAATCTCATCACCAAGCCCTCCTGACCTCACTGCCTCCAATAGCATCACATTGGGGTTTAGGTTTCAACATAAGAATTTTCGGGGCACACATCCAGTGTGTGGTAAGCACTTTAAGACCCTTTCCCCCCTGGTGATTTATGGGAGTGGCAGGACTGCATGCACTTCTTCGAATAGTATCATCGATGAAGCTTGGCTTCAGTCATCCATTCCCTGTTAACATCATCCAAGAGGCTCCGTCAGCAGATGTTTATAAAAAGTGAATTGTACATGTCTCATTTGAGAAGGTTCACATTCCTCAGGCATGTTCAGATAGTCATTTTAATTAGGCAAATTGATAATTATATTTCCTTGACACATACCCTAATCAAGACTCCTTTTTCCTAGCAAATAATTGTTTTTCTGAAAAGTTTACAACATCTGTTTTGAAGAAATTCTTAAAAAGGAGAAATATTAAGGTAAAATAGGTTTCCAAAAATTTCCTGTATTTATTTGTTTTCAGGCCCTAAACTGTTCTCTTTTCCAGTTTCATTTTCCCACCAGAATATTTTCTGCCTTAAAGAATAGGGCTCTTTGGTGGTTTTTTTAAAAAGATGATTTCCCCGGACGTTTTAAATCTCTGCAGCTGTTTGAGAGGAGCTGACCATGTTCACCAATCCTGAATATTTCTCGGTCCCCTCTGGAAACCCTCTCGTGTGGCAGAAAATAAATGGGAGTCTCCAAAATAAATAAATAACTTGTCCCTCCTCTTCCAGTTCTCACCTAAGAACTCTTCTAGAAACAGTAGACCTGAAAATGTGTATCCAGGTCTGCATGGAGTAGAAAATACTGTAGTTTGAAAAATTCTAACAGATCAATGAAGAAAATGAAAATGAAATAAATGCTTTTAATTATGCTGTACATTTAGGCCAAACCAGTTATCTCTTATTTGAGAAGGGCTCCTGTGATTAAAGCAAGAATTTTGATTATTTATCCCCACCTCATGAATATCATCATCAGGCAAAATTAGTGTGTAAAAATGTTCCTGTGGCAACATTTCTAAGAGACAAAGGAACTTTTATTTTTGAGTGCCTTTTTTTTTTTTTGCCTTTCTGTATTTTATAACTTTATCGAGGTACCATAACAGTCACTCATTTTAAGTTCACAGTTCAATGATTTTTCATAAATTTGCAGAGAGGTACAGTGTCAGGATTTTAGAACCTTTCTGTGTCCCCCCCAAAAAGGAAACTTTGTGCCCATTTGTAGTCTGTTCCTGTTTCCACTCCCTATGTAGGGAACTACTACGTCCATAGCTTTGCCTTTTCTGGACATTTCATATAAATAGAATCATATGATCTGTGGTCTTTTGTGACTGACTTCTTTCCCTCAGCATCATCTTTTCAAGATTCTCTCATGTTGTAGCAGATAGCCGCACTCTTCCTTTTCACTGAATGGTATTCCATTGTATGGGAAACCACATCTTGTTTATCCATTCACCCATTGATGCACATTTGGACGTTGGCAGACGTTCCCCAATTTGGACACTGGCTGTTAGGAATGAAGCTGATATGAACATCCACATACAGATCTTTGTATGGACATATGTTTCATTTTTCTTGGGTAGATACCTAAGTTTGGAACTGCTGGGTCATATAAGTAACTATGTTTGACATTTTGAGGAACTTCCAAACTGTTTTCCAGAGCAGCTGCACCATTTTACATTCCCACCACTAAGGTATATGGATCCCTGTTTCTCTATATCCCTGCCAACACTTAGCACTTGTCATCATCTGTCTTTTTGATTATAACCAACCATATGCGTGTGAATTGGTGTCTCATGTGGTATTGATTTGCATTTTCTTTTTT